TGTTTGGGAAGTGCACCAAAACCACTGCAGGTGAATTTATAGGACACTTGGATTGTTTAAGGGAGGAGATTTAGAACATTCAATTGAAACTCACAAAGTTTTAGTATTGGTTACAATGTGTCCATTTTTTAGTGACTGATGTCCTTGGTATGTGGAATATATATATTCTGGTAGGTACCAAAGCATCCATGTGTGAATGCTGTCCAACCTCTGTGTCCATAGATGCGAAGTACCAGGAAAGTGTCCGTTTGGCCGGTGGCATTCGTAGGAGGTCTTCGTTATGAGTCCCCCAAAGTCAATGCCGCTGGCAAAGTATTTGGATGGAAAACAGTGTTTGACCCCCACAGACCATTTGCCATAGACATGGCTGGCTTTTCCATCAACCTGCGCCTGATTCTCCAGCGACCGCAGGCATACTTCAAATTGCGAGGTGTTAAAGGAGGTTATCAGGAGAGCAGCCTGCTGAGGGAGCTTGTTAACTTGAGTGACCTAGAACCCAAAGCGGACAATTGCACTAAGGTAGGTAACTTTTAAAGCCGTATTTCTCATCCTTCTTCTAACCAAGTCTAGTAACCGGTTAATTTATTTTTCTCACCCAAGAACCCATCATATAGCTGTTTGTTTTCATTAAGTACCACATTGTGCCTTATGCACATTATTTGTGTTTTTTTAATATTTTACAGATTTTGGTCTGGCACACACGGACGGAGAAGCCTGTACTTGTAAATGAAGGAAAGAAAGGTTTTACGGATCCCAACGTGGAGATCTGAAAGAAACAAAATGAGAAAACATCTAAGGTAACTCATATCCCATCCTTGCATGGAAAGTCTGACCGTCTGGTTCTTCATAATGTCCTCAGACTTTGAAGAATCAGTCTCACCATTCCATGCATTATGGATGAGTTTTGGTTACTCTTCTATCAGGTTCCTTTCTACCAATCTGTCCTATGCTCCATCCAGATGCCTTTACCTGTGCAGAGAAACCTCTAATAATAAATGTGAAGGTGCAGATTCAAAATGACAAAACTGGGAGAAAAAAATCTCCATCTTTTTTCTTTTTGGATAAAATGTCATTTAAGTTCTCTGGTCAATTACTAATTCTTGGTTTAGTGAATAACCCAGAAAAGATCAAGGATTCTATTTTTATATAATGTAGAGCAGGGGTAATCAAATGTAGGTCCCCAGAAAGGGCTGCGGGGAAGGGAACGTGCCAGTTATGGGGTGCTATGTAATCACTGATGACAAGCACGTCCCCACTCAAAGTGAGCAAGTTTGCTTGATGCTATTCCAGGGCAAACTATGTATAGATCCCTGCTGAGGGGCTCTTGCATGAGAAAAAGGCCCTGTGTTTGTTCTGCACAAGCAAATTTAAAGCTTGCGCTGTGTTGGCTTGTGACTTGTTTCTACTATCTCCATACGTGGTAAACTAGAGAACAAAAGGACAAGGAAAGCGTATTTGCATGTTTTAGGAGGCTGCTTGTTGGAGTAAATGTTTGCTGAGTGAGCTGATTGTGGTGTGGTGTTTAGTTTAAATAGGTTGGTTTCAGTTGTGCTGTGTTTGTGGTGTACAATTTGTGGTTGGGGCAGTGGAGAGGGGCTGCTCCTCCGGCTAGAGTTCACTCTCGTGAGATCGGGAGCATTGCAATGGTAAACCCCGGAAATGCTCCCGAGAGGACTTTCCTCACCCAGCGGAGCTGCTGGCTGCAGCTCTAAGGTCCTCTTCCACCTCCCTGGATTTAAGAAACTATGATATTTGTTCTCCCTCTATGGCCCATTAAGACACAGAGCAGGGCCAGCGTCTCCCCTGTCGGCCTCAGCCCATAGCCATTGTGGCCCACCGGGTATTTGCCCGATCGCCAGTCCGGGCCTGTCCCCAGATGTTGCAGAACAGCAGCATGAAGAATTCAGATATTTCTAGGAAATTATGGTGGATTTGCAAACTAGATTGATATCATGGAAAGGGCTTCACATATTATTGGGGTCTTGGATCATACATGTTGAGCTAAGTACCACTTCCTAAGCACAACTGTTACTCATAGATTTAGGGAAATAACTGATAAATTGATACAAAACATACATAGTGCACTTTTGAAAAAGACAGTTTATATAACAACTAATTACAGTACTAAAATAATGTTACAGTTGCTTTTGGTTACATAACGGGGCTTATTCACTAAATACTGAATTATTGTGAACTGAAAATCTAATTGCTAAATTTGGGCAGAAAGTGCTGATTTGGAAAAAAAGGCTATTTTCAATGGCTTTTAGCCTGTGTTTCACAATAAAGTTTTTAATACAATTCAATATTTCGTGTTTGAAGCCCATGTTTTGTTTATTTTTTTAAATAAAATGTTACAATTACATATTTCTTGCATGGTCTAAGCATTCTCTGTTTGTTCCTCGCAGGGGCTGTATGCAGGTATCGCGCTCTCCATGGGCAGATGGACATAGAGAGTGTCATTGGGGACACATTCTCCAACACTGAGACCATCTGCCCCTAGCCCCCCAGATTGTGCAGGACCGCCCATGTGTATGTTCATTTACTCAAGAAGCACAGCACATGATACGGAGGGAACCTTGGAGATATTAGGGAATGAAGAATCCTGGTTTCTCTAACTATAAATCATCCGGCTGTTCCTTTGCTGCAGAGAGCCAGGGGAAAGTCTTGTAGGATGGAAAGTGAAATAGATATGAGCAGTGGGGCCCGGGGTGCTGACTCAAATTGCCTCTGCACCCACATGGACTGACTGCTATGCCGTTGTCACTTCCGGAAACTCGCTGTGCAGCCTATGGACCATCCTCCCAATACCGGGTCATACAGCCATGTTCTTCATGCTCCTCTGCAGGCAGCGACTCGTCTTCATGTTCTCTGTAGATCCAGGTGTAACTCACACAGCTAGGCCCCTCGTAGTATCCAAAGTGAGACACACAGACACTAGTTACTTTGCACTCAAACCAGATGGCAATCTGAAATTTGCAATGAATTCTCGCTCTCAATGCAATGATAAATTGCGTTGCAGGACAAACCCTTGCATTCCCTATACTATATCAGAGCAATTTTTTGATTATATATACGATATATTGAGGCTATGATAAACTTTAATTGAATTACCTTCTTTTACAAAAAATCTATTTTATCAATTGAATCTCTCAGTATTCTTTACATAGAAGTAAAATGTCAAGAAAAGTGCTTACATGGCATGCGCACATTCAGGCACACTACAAGGCCCAGCATGCAGCTCTGCCCTAGGAATTATGGGAGGTAGTGTGGCAGTCACCAACCATATGGGATATTATCTTTTAAAATAAATAGCAAGAATAGCAGCTTCTGCCAGTTCCTCCAAGTATTAAAAACAGAATAATAAAAAAAAAAAAATATATATAAGAAGATTGGGTTATCCTTATAAGAACATCACATGGATATAGTGTTTGAAGAACTTTAGAATGCCCAGTACCTTAACATTCTATCTATACATCGTTAGCACAGGGTATCGATTACATTGTATAGGTGAAGCAGACAACATGACAACTTTAACCATCGCAAAGAGAGATGCATAAATATATACACAAACAGAACTGCACTCAGAATTATACAATGGCATTAAGGCGCCTATTCAGTAAATGGTGAGTTAGAATGAGAACATTCTCGTGTAAGGTAACATCATGTTATTCAAATGTTCAATATCATTTGTTTGATGTGAAGAAACATTATTTAAAGGGCGACTCCACACATCTAAAACACTTTACCTTGCTGAAGTGCTTTATGTATGAAGTGTGTCCTGTTTTTTTTTTTAATCTCATTGTACAAAAATTACAGATTTCATAGAAATTGAAACTTTTATAAATGAACCTTCTCACACAAGTCCCCCTCCCTCCTCCCCCGGCTGTCAATCAGAAAACCAGTCCTGTTACTTCCCGTTTTTTTACCTTAGTGGAATTAAACTCAACTCAAACTGAGATGAGCATCATATTTGAGGTTATACTTTTATTCTTTCTGCACATGGATCTGTACTTTCAGAATCGGACTCCAAACAAATTACTAAAAAGATGGATCACCTCGGTAGATTTGCATTTTTTAAAAAGCACATTTTAGAAAACACTTTTCCTGTCTGAGAGACAGCATTATTAGTGATCAAATGCTACAAATTAAATATGGTGGTCATCTCCCCGGCACAGAGAGCATGATGGATCATGGCTGATGAGACGCTGATCTCTGCAGAACATCTCACTTCCCACTTGCAGACCATTGCACACTGCATCTAATTAAAAAAACATTCTTATCTCTGTGTGTTCGCTGTTCTGCTCCTCAATATCCAGACAAATGCACTTAATTACTTAATGCAGAGAAAAAGAAAAGAAAAAAAAATGTGGAAGAAGTAGTTTATTAGAAAAATTAAAATTAAAAAATTAAAAAACACAAAAAAAACCTTCCATCTAAATCACATCAACTTCAGTGTGGCACTTTCCTGCAGAAACTACAAGCTGCTGTTTTTAAACAAAAATTTTCTTTTCTGGAACGAAACTTTTCTTTCTTTTTTTTGCATATTTAAAAAAAACTGAAAAAAATGAATGTTTGTGAAAAAAAAAAAAAAAAAAACAATGTGTCAACAACTGTGTGTGTTTTATGTGTCAGTTGTGGATTACATTACCAAACATATTTACTAAATTAGTGGAATCGAGTCAAAGTAAGTCACGCAGCGCATGGCAAGGGCAGATGTGCAAAAAAAAAAAATATAAGCTTTGGTGGAGATTTACTTAAACTGGGGCTTATTCAATAAAAAGTAAGTAGCCACAGGCTGAGTGACACATGAGTTGAAATATTTAATCAACTGAATAATTCTGAGATTCTTTCCAACTTTGCAAATTCTTTGCTTTTTTTATATACGTTTCCACAAGCTGTATGAGGGAATTATTAATGTCGCTAGACTTTACTATGGTTAGCATAATAGACAGAAATATAAACACAAACAAATAGCGGGAAAAGATTCTGAATTTGTATTTCAGGATTGTTGGTAGGGTTACTAATTAAAAAAGGGAATTTTTTCCTTCACCAGCAAATTCACATTTTAGCACAGAGAAGCAGAACCGAAAACATAGCTTAGTTCCCATGTCAATCCCGGTTTGTGGTAATAACCCTGCTCAAGTGACGGTGCCTCTTTAAATAATTTTATGATCACGCTTAGCAATGTCCTGCACTAAGTGCCTATGGTATATCTGGCCAGCTGCCACTTCATCTGTACAAGAACCAAATGATGGCACGCAGGAGACTAAATATGGCTTTTTATTCACTCATGTGCGCAATGCACCCATTGACCTAAAAACATCCCTGCTTTTAGTTTTGCTGCAAATATTACATTAAGCAAGGGCTCCTGCAGTGAGCCACTCAGCTGTGTCCTCTTCCCCCCTGACATTTCCTAGCAATAGATTGCCGCAGGCGAGCTTTCTATGGCGTTCATAACGCACAAGGCCATGACTTGCAGGGCTCCAGTGTGCTGCCGTCTGAAGAAAAGGGCAGTTTAATATTCTGCAGGGACAATTCCCAAACTATTATGTGCAAAGCTCTAGATTTTGTGAATGTACTATACACAGCAATGGAGCGAATCATTGGGACATATTCACTAAGCATCTCATTTCTTGCAGCAAATTTCATTTGGCTTTTATTTAATTTAAATATGGGTAAAATGAGTAAAGGGGATTCCGTTGCAGCTTGGGTATTTGTGAATAATATAATTACCAAACGGATATAGAGAGTCAGCTGAACATTAGCAGAAATGTAATGCGTGGATGAAATAGTCGGAATTTGCCTTATGAATAGCCGAATGTTTCATGTGGAAACTGACAAATTTGGAAAACCTGTGCCAACCTTGTTGGTATTACGTGACTAGAGGTTTATATGTATTTATTATGAAATAAAAACAACACTTAGGCTTATATTAAAGGATATACAATCCATGCATGTGTTATGTAGGGTGCAAACAACGTTGAGTTTTTTTCAATGAAGATCCACTTTTTTTCAATTGTTTTGGAAGAAAATCCCGGCATCCCTTGTACAAGATGTATATATGGGCTAACTTTAACTTTTCTTTGCAAATCAATATTAAATAAAAGTAAAATATTGCCAATACAGCCCCACCATATACCATTTTGCTCCAGTGATGGTGGTCACCTTACACTGAAACAAATGTCTTCATTCTGTTCACATGCAGGTATTATTTCAGCTTCATTATACCAAAATACAGAATACTTTTTTACTTTTTAGTGATATTTTGTAGAAAACTGCATTCTTAGAAATATCACCAGAATTATTACACATGAAAATGATAAATGTCAATCCATATGCAAAATCATTTTTTATACTTTGATTAAGTGATAAGTAGGTATTCCATGTTCAAATAAATTATAACACACACACACATATATATATATATATACCATCCTTTTATCCGGCACCAGAAGTGTTTTTACTTTCCAGTGAGGATTTTACTCCCAAGAATCCTAGGTGGGGGGAGGTCGGGAGGTTGTTCCCCTGATGTCAATCGGTATTTTGAACAGAACTTGAATTTCCTGTGTGTTTCGTGCGGCGTTCGGTTAGTTAGGCTGGGATCTGAGCGGTATTCTCACGAACTATGCGCTCAGACCCCAGCTATCTACCGAACGTCCATTCGTTTAAATGAAGGGAATATTATGGGAGATTTGTATTTTAATGTGAAATGTAAGTTCTGCGGCATGGAGGGATAATCCACTTAACGGTATATTCTCGTGGGAGTATCCCTCTCGTGCAGCAGTGCATGGTTGGAAAAATGCATGTATTGTTCAGTTCCCCATGTAGTCCCCTACTATGCCACCCCTGGAATGTCAGTAGGGAAACCCCTTGCATGGGGAATCACATAAATACCGTGACCTGAAAATAAAACCTCAGTTGACCTCCAAGCTATGTGTCGTCTAGTTCTTGGGAGGAAGGGATTGTAACTACGCTACCTGGATTTTATCTGCTTTGTGCCTGCTTGATTCTGTCTACCAGCAGAGATACCGTAGATAATACTACTACTCCGATACAATTGGTGGCAAGCGACGGGATAATAACCACACGGCAAAGCAGGGTTCGGCAGGAATTAAAACGAATAGAAGGAAAGAAACAGCAATTCGTGAGCACAACCATTCGGATGAAACCGGAGTTCGGGAATACCAGGTAACGCACGAACAGCCGGTGAATGGAAACGAATTATGCACTTTTGAAACGCAGCACATTAAAGGAGTTACTAGAGGCAAGAGGAACAATAGCCAGCAACAAGGCAAAGGCTGTTCTAATTGAGGAGCTGATGGAAGGGGACAGAGCAGCAGCACCTCCAATGAGGAAGGAGCAAACAGAATTTGAAATAGAATTCAAGAGCAGGATAGCTCTGTACCCAACCACCCCACCAGAGGAGACTTTCGGCAGGATCATGGCAGATGTACAAGAATACATCATGGCCAAACAGGGCCAAGCAAACCAGACATCCAGAGAGGGGTCACCGGCTCCACCTAGCATCATACAGGGAAAACCAAAAATTCCCTACATAGCTTTTAAAAACTTCACGGACACAGAGGGCGATAGTGATGGATATTTGCAGGACTTTGAAAGACTGTGTCAGCTGCATGAGATTAGGCCACACGATCAAGTACCCCTGCTGGCTGGTAAATTATCAATTACCCCTGCTGGAAGCTTACAGAGCCGTGCCAGATGAGGACAGCAGAGACTACCAAAAAGTAAAGCAAGCCATCCTAGCCCTGTATGCCATTACTCCGGAGGCGTACCGACTCCAATTCCGGGACCTGAGAAATAAGGAGAAGGACTCTCACGCTGAATTTGCACATCGCCTACAAAGAACAGCCACCGGGTGGATTGAGGCAGCGCAAGCAACCACTAAGCAGGATATCATGCAGCTACTGCTATTTGAACAATTTTACCGGAGATTATCCACAGAGATGCAGAACTGGGTAAGGGACCGAAAACCCTGTACCTTACAAGATGCCGCTAAACTCGCGGACGTGCACCAAGATACTAGGTGAGAACAGCGCCCACTACCTAAAGTATTTCCCCAGGCAAGCAATTATCGGCCTGCCGTGGTGGACCCCCCATGATCAGGGGGGGCCTACAATCAGTACCAACCCCGATACAACAACCGAGCACACATCCGATGCCATACCTGCAACCAACTAGGACATGTACAAAGAGATTGTCCCCGAAACAGGGCACGACCATCAGGGCCAACCAAGGACAACCACTTGGACCCAGAGCAGCAGTACACTGCTATCAGACCAGAGCCTTTGCGCAGCCATCCACCACCACTCAGATGGAAGAACCGCTAGGCACGCTCCACGAGGTTAACCCGGTGCAAGCGGTGTCAGACAACCGCCAAAGCCATCGACAAGTGGTCCATATAGAAGGGAAGTGTATGGAAGGACTGAGGGATTCCGGGGCCACCATCACGTTGGTCTGAAATCATCTGGTCAAAAAGAAAAACTCACGGGGGATATCATAGCGGTACGGGTGGCAGGGGGAGCCATTTACAAGGTTCCCACTGCCAAAATACATTTGAATTGGGGAGCGGGGGCAGGGCAGGTGGAGGTGGGGATGATGCAAGACTTGCCAGCAGATGTTATTTTGGGAAATGACTTGGGGGAGCTCACCTCCGCTTTTATTCCACGACCTACCACGCAGGAGGCCTACCCAGTCGTCACCCGACAACAGGCTCGCACCACGGCACCACCCACCGACTCTGAGGCTCAGGTAAGCAATGCCAACCCCAATCACACCGCCCTACCCTGGGATGCCCCTTTAGAATTTGGTAGTGAGGTCGCTCTAGATCCTTCCCTGCAGGTTTATAAAGACCGAATAGACAAGAACCAGGCAGGCCTAGAAGGAGAAAAATATGCTTGGGATAAAGGGCTATTGTACCGGTATGCCGAGAAGATAGTAGCCGGATCTGTTCCCATTCCCATAAAACAGTTCATTGAGCCTCGGAAATACAGGCAAGAGTTAATGCGCATAGCACACGACATACCATTGTCAGGGCATTTAGGAATCAGCCAAACCAAACATCGGCTGACTCAAAATTTCTTCTGGCCAGGTATCTCACAAGATATTAGACAATATTGTAATACCTGTGATACCTGCCAGAGGGTCGGAAAACGGGGAGACAGATATAAAGCTAAACTGCACTCCCTACCCATAATAGAAGAACCCTTTAGTAGAGTAGCGGTGGACATAATAGGACCGTTGAAGAAACCCAGTCCCTCCGGCAAGAAGTACATCTTGACCGTAGTGGACTACGCCACCAGATACCCCGAAGCAGTGGCCCTAACTAATGTACATGCTAACACCGTGGTGGATGCCCTTATGCGAATATTCTCCCGCATGGGATTGCCCCGGGAGATTATTTCGGCTAGAGGTACCCAATTCACGGCAGAGGTCACTCACCAACTCTGGAAAATATGTGGAGTAAAATCTATCCTTAACTCTCCCTACCATCCCCAGTCTAATTGTCTCTGTGAACGGTTTAACGGAACGCTGAAACAAATGATCCGGACGTTCATAGACACGCAGAAAGACTGGGAACGATTCCTACCCCACTTACTGTTCGCCTATAGGGAAGTTCCCCAAGAATCCACTGGGTTCTCTCCCTTTGAATTATTGTTTGGAAGGAGAGTGAGGGGCCCACTAGATTTAATCAGAGAACACTGGGAGGGGGGAGTGACCGCTAATGGTACCCCTATTGTACCCTATGTGCTGGAATTCCAGGACCGTTTGGAGGCGTTAACCCAGACCGTACGTACCAACCTTCAAGCGGCCCAGCAAAGACAGCGTAGATGGTATGATAGGGGGGCCATGGACCGCAGCTTTCAGGTCAGGCAGAAGGCAGGGCCCATTCAAGGTGGTAGAGCAAATCTGCGATACCACCTATATAATTGGCCTATGCGCTGGGGCAGGGGGGAGACTCATGCTTCATGTGAACATGCTGAAACCCTACCACGAGCGCACGGAAGAGGTGACCGCAATATGTGCCTCTGCCGCAGAGGACGTGGATAATTTGCCATTACCATATCTTCTCGCCAGAGAAACCCAAAAAGAGGAGTTAGCCGCAGTACAGTTAGGGGAGAGCTTGACTTCACAGGAGAAAACCCAGGCCCAAAGTTTAATTAGGGAGAAGGGAGCCACCTTGTCCAACCTTCCCGGGTATACCCCATTAGCCACCCACCGGGTGGAAACCCCAGGCCAAACACCCCTCCGTCAACCTCCTTACCGCATTCCAGAAGCGGTAAAAGAGCATATGCGTAAGGAGATTGAAGAAATGTTACAATTAGGGGTTATTGAGCATTCAGATAGCCCATGGGCGTCCCCAGTGGTACTAGTGCCGAAGCGGGATGGGACAACCCGCTTCTGGGTAGATTATAGACGGCTTAATGATAAACCTGTATCAGACGCCTACCCCATGCCGCGCATAGACGAGCTGTTAGACAAGATGGCCCAAGGCCAATATCTAACCACGATCGACCTTTGCAAAGGGTACTGGCAAATCCCTTTAGCTGAGGACGCCATCCCTAAGTCAGCGTTTGTCACTCCGTTTGGCCTATACCAGTTTAGAGTCATGCCTTTTGGAATGAAAAACGCTCCAGCCACCTTCCAGAGGATGGTAGACCAACTATTAGACGGGTTTCAGGAATACGCGTGCGCCTATCTGGACGACATAGCGATTTTTAGCTATTCCTGGACCGAACACCTGAGCCATGTAGGAGCAGTCTTAGGCCGTATTAGGGAGGCCGTACTAACCCTTAAACCCAGTAAGTGCCATATAGGGATGGCCGAAGTCCAATATTTAGGACATCGAGTAGGAAGTGGCCAACAGAAACCGGAACCGGCCAAAATAGAGGCTGTAGCCAAATGGCCAACCCCAGGTTTTAGCATTTCTAGGTACCGCAGGGTATTATTGAAAATTTGTGCCCGATTACAGTACCCTGGCCAAATCCCTCACAGATTTAACACGCAAGAATCTCCCCAAGTTAGTAGTATGGGCCCCAGAGTGTGAAATGGCATTCCAACAACTTAAAACCGCTCTTGTTAACGCACCTGTACTCGCTGCTCCTGATCCAACTAAACGCTTTCTCGTCCATACAGACGCTTCTATGTTTGGATTGGGAGCAGTACTGAGCCAAGTCGGAGCAGATGGCGGCGAGCATCCCGTAGCTTACTTATGCAGAAAACTTTTACCTCGAGAAGTAAGCTACGCCGCCATCGAAAAAGAATGCCTTGCCGTGGTGTGGGCCCTCAAGAAACTGCAACCATATTTATACAGACAACCATACTCACTACTCACAGATCACAACCCGTTGGTCTGGCTGAACCGGGTATCAGGAGACAATGCCAGGCTGCTGCGCTGGAGTTTGGCGCTGCAGCCTTTTGACTTTACGATCCAGTACCGCCCAGGAAAGTTAAATGGCAACGCCGACGGGTTATCCAGACAAACTGAACTTGACACGTGATCTGTGAGTACTCCTCCGGACATCCCCAAGCCGATCCGTTGGGATCAGACTGTGTATGCCGGCTTGGTTCTGGGGGATCATTGTGGCAAAACTAGCCACTAGAGACTATTAATGTATAAGTATGTTTGTATTCTTGCTAAAGCTGTAGAGACCAGTGCAGAATTGTATTTGTATTTCAGGCGAATGAGGGCATTCGTATGCTGGCGGTATGAAAACTCCAGCATTCATACTTTAGTTTCACAAACAGTGAGTTTAAACGATTTGTTGATCATCTGGAAAGGGAGTATCAAAGAGGCACAAACCATGGTAGAACATCTCAACACACTTCCAACTACAGTGAGGTTTACAGCTAACATTAGTACAGAGTCTGTACAGTTCCTTGACTTTGAAATATGACTGAAGAACCACAGGATTTCATATGGTCTATTCAGCAAGCTCCTAACAGATCCTAAGACCATCTTGCACGTTGACAGCGCACATCCATTGCCGCTTAAACGTTCACTATCTAAGGAGCAGTATATGTGTGTTATAGGGAACAATTCAGAAAAATCCATTATGGAACAGCAGCTGAATATTCCTTGTACGGGGATACAACTACAAACACCTATTGAGAGCGTTAAATGAGACCAGAGTTGCCCACGCCAATAAGGTAACAGAGAGTACCCTGTATGGTCTTCCGTATGACCTATAGTCAAGTGACACCAAGCATTTCAAAGAATCCTCTCTCATTGGCTACTAGAGAAATCACAACCTGAGAGACTTATTAGTCCATACAGACCCGACTAGCAGTTATGAAAAGACCATAAATCAGCAGAACAAGGGTTCTGTTAGATGCCTTGGTTGTGTGACATGCATGCATATGACCCCAACCCGCACTTCCAACCATCTACACAATAACCAAGTTTACACCATATGCCACACTATCACTTGAAAAACCCCATTTGTGATTTACAAATTAATGTGCCCTTGTGGGTTGGCTTATGTAGGCAAAACATAAATACCCCTCTGCAAACGCATAAGGGGCCATAGGTCCAGCATAAGAGTGGCCTATAGAGATGGACTGTTTTCAAGTATAATATTGATGTTTACACTTTGTAACCTCGGTGACCTATGTTTGTATCAGTCGCTATAGCAACTTACATCATCACAGCACGTGTGGGCAGATTTACATAGCACATGCGCACTTTTCGATGAGAAACGCAGGTTTCCAGTATTCACTTCACCTGGGGTAAGATCATTATTCTTAATTTGTTTGCCTATAAATCTGTAATTTGTCTAGTTAGTTAGTTTGTTAGTATCTTGTTCACCCTGAAGAAAGTCCCAGACGTGGACTGAAACATTGGTGATGCCTTTAATGGAACTTCAATAAAATTCAACTTTTTATCCACGACAGACTGTGAGTGCAATCCTCTCCATTTGTATTCTATCTACATTAACCATGGCTTTTTGGCACCTGGCACTTTGAACAATTGATCTTGTGTCCTAGGATACTCTGGAATATATATATATATATAACTTAACAAAAAACAAATATATACCCATTTCAATTATTTATTATTACCAGTGAAACCAATATAACATCTCAACATTCACAAATATACATTTCTGACATTCAAAAACAAAACAAAAACAAATCAGTGACCAATATAGCCACCTTTCTTTGCAAGGACACTCAAAAAGCCTGCCATCCATGGATTCTGTCAGTGTTTTGATCTGTTCACCATCAACATTGCGTGCAGCAGCAACCACAGCCTCCCAGACACTGTTCAGAGAGGTGTACTGTTTTCCCTCCTTGTAAATCTCACATTTGATGATGGACCACAGGTTCTCAATGGGGTTCAGATCAGGTGAACAAGGAGGCCATGTCATTAGATTTTCTTCTTTTATACCCTTTCTTGCCAGCCACGCTGTGGAGTACTTGGACGCGTGTGATGGAGCATTGTCCTGCATGAAAATCATGTTTTTCTTGAAGGATGCAGACTTCTTCCTGTACCACTGCTTGAAGAAGGTGTCTTCCAGGAACTGGCAGTAGGACTGGGAGTTGAGCTTGACTCCATCCTCAACCCGAAAAGGCCCCACAAGCTCATCTTTGATGATACCAGCCCAAACCAGTACTCCACCTCCACCTTGCTGGCTCTGAGTCGGATTGGAGCTCTCTGCCCTTTACCAATCCAGCCACGGGCCCATTCATCTGGCCCATCTGGCCCATCAGTCCATAAAACCTTAGAAAAATCAGTCTTGAGATATTTCTTGGCCCAGTCTTGACGTTTCAGCTTGTGTGTCTTGTTCAGTGGTGGTCGTCTTTCAGCCTTTCTTACCTTGGCCATGTCTCTGAGTATTGCACACCTTGTGCTTTTGGGCACTCCAGTGATGTTGCAGCTCTGAAATATGGCCAAACTGGTGGCAAGTGGCATCGTGGCAGCTGCACGCTTGACTTTTCTCAGTTCATGGGCAGTTATTTTGCGCCTTGGTTTTTCCACACGCTTCTTGCGACCCTGTTGACTATTTTGAATGAAACGCTTGATTGTTCGATGATCACGCTTCAGAAGCTTTGCAATTTTAAGAGTGCTGCATCCCTCTGCAAGATATCTCACTATTTTTGACTTTTTTGAGCCTGTCAAGTCCTTCTTTTGACCCATTTTGCCAAAGGAAAGGAAGTTGCCTAATAATTATGCACACCTGATATAGGGTGTTGATGTCATTAGACCACACCCCTTCTCATTACAGAGATGCACATCACCTAATATGCTTAATTGGTAGTAGGCTTTCGAGCCTATACAGCTTGGAGTAAGACAACATGCATAAAGAGGATGATGTGGTCAAAATACTCATTTGCCTAATAATTCTGCACTCCTGTATATATATATATATATATATATATATATATATATATATATATATACACACACACACACACACACACACACACATACGCACACCAAAAAAGTTAGTACTATCCTAAATCCCTGTGCACATTTAAATAACTGGAATGTTTTGAGGTTATCTTTTTAAATCAAAGCGGGGTGGACAGAAGTCACAACAATTGTATCAAACATGTAGTCTCTCCCCCCACCCCTCAAAAAAAAAAAAGGATCATTTTCAGGACTATAGATTCTCTTTACGCCCTTAAAGGACCACTCCAAACTTAAAAAAAAAACAAAAACACAGGTTAGTAGAGATACTCCCAATGAATACATACATGTACATTTTTAAGCATGTATTTGTGGTGGGACCGCTACCTGTCTGTGAATTGTCCTTATGTTATTGCCTGTATTTCTCCATGTATTTGTGACTATTCAAGTGTTTTGCCTGCTCCCTGGAACTGTGTGTCTTCCAGTTAATGGGATTCTATGTGTTTTAACGATTCCCTCTTAAGTGACCGAAGTGACTTACCGAAAAGAACCGTTAAGGTTACTCCGGCCCGCTACAGTATTCATTGGGAGTGTAGTCTAAAAGAGATTACAAAAACTGCAGTTCTTATGACTGCAGCCTTTGTAAGTCCTCCCCTTCTTCCCCAGAAGAGACTTTCAGTCTCTTCATAGCGAAATAACCAGAGTCGTCTCAATGAGAACCCTCTGACTTGGTCTCCACTGTTGCGTGCAAGCACGTACACACGCTGCAGCTGAGAAGCTGGTCTGAGGTCTGTGAGAGAGGGGGAGGCTCAAGTAGAGCGTGCCTGCGAATCCCGTTAGCTCAGGGGAAGGAATCCTCTATGGCTGATTGATTGACAGCTGGGAGGAGGGGGTTCACTAGTTGATTTATGAAATACAGATAAGATACAGCAATCACAATACTTCTAAAGGTGAGTTAGTGATGTATTAAAGGGACACTATTGGAACCTAGACTCCTTCATTTTATTGAAGTGATTTTCAAACTAAAGTGGTCTGGGTACAGTGTCTATGTCCCCCTAACATTACAAGGCTAAGACTGCCTCCAGTGTCTGTTCTTCAGAGAAGTTTCCTGTCTTTTCACAAAGTTTAACTCCATGAAACAACATGATTCATTGCTTTCCTATAGTGAAGATCTAATGTGCTTCCAGCACTCACCGCGTATTAGGTCCCCCATTGCCGTGACGTCTCTGGAGGAGGAGAGCGATCCAGCACAGAAGCACCTTGTTGTTGGATTAGGGTAAGTGAATACAATTATTGTTGTTACCTCTTTTTAAATTTGCAGGGGGGGTGGGAATGCGCTTGCTATAACATTAGGAATACAGTTTAACATAGCTAACGCTATAGTGTTCCTTTAATGGAACCATCAAAAACCTGGAGATTTCAACACCTTTAAGGAATTTAATCAAATAAACATCATACCTAAATATTTTATCTTAATATAAATTATATAGATCGATATAGAATTTTTAAGCAGAACAAACACCACAACACATCCTCTGACTTAATGACATGCACAACCAATGCTAACCAACATTTTAATATATTGTTTTTAAATTTATTAATAATATAAAAAAACGCATAATTCCTTTAATGTCCACTTAGAGGTACCCTGGCAAAACCAATGCACTCAAACACCTGTAACATTCAACTAGTCATTAAAAACCTCTTGTAAGGAAACCTAGTATATCCAATCCTCATTCGGTAGTTTCCTCCCGAACCGCCAGAGCATCGGTGAGTATAGCTCTCCGTTCGGTAGATGGAATAGACAAAATCCATACGAATATAAATAGCTTTACAAGATAATTCCCTTAATAAAGCATACAAATCCCCAAACATCAGCCGAAGTCAAGAAGAAGGGTACAACAGAACTGGCTTTTAATGACCACACACAGGCTTTTATGCAAGTCCCCATGCAATGGGACCTCCCACAAGGAGGGACACAGTATAACCAATCAGTTACAGGAAAACAGTAAAACACACAATTCCCTCCCCTAGTCCTGGAGATAACCAAGTCTGATAAAGTAATAACTTGATTATCTCCAGGCAGAAAAATCACAAGTTTTCCCCAATATTCAGAACACCTCTTTATACATGGGGTATCCCCACAAATAATATGTCCCCTGATAGCCCCGATCTGGGTGACCAACATATTCAAATTTCACCCAGATCGGTTCAGGGGTTCTCAAAAAGTGTAGAAGTTCTTTGTGACCGGCTAACCGTGAGCTGGCTGCCCAAAATAGTTCCAGGAGTTTGGGTGGTTTTGCCGGTCTATTCAGTTAAGTGGTAAAAACCGAATAATTCCACAAATGGATTCCCCTGGCTCTTAGCAGCGATTGTTCCCCTCATTTGAATGCACAAAAGTACTGAATAGCGCTCTTCTAGCTATTCGGGAAATAGAGATCCAGCGTTCGCTTGTTGAGACCGGTGTTCGGGAAGTCGAGTGTCCGATTTTAGTTCGACACTCGATGGCCAAGTCCTGCTGCCTTTGTTCGCCTGAAAAAAGATGTCCGCCGTTTTCTCAGCCACGTGGCGTTCGGTAGTACGAACGCTGGCGGCACAGATAGAGGGTTCAATTGAAGCATTCTTTGAAGTTTAACGAGCCAGCGGGTTGTCTCTGTTCGGTAGTTATATCTACCGAATGAATATGGAAGAAATATTATACATAGAGAGGGATTTCTTCACACCTCTCAAAGGCTCAATTTATTTGTTTTGTTCTTTTGTCTTTAACCTCATG